TGTGAAGGCGACAGCGAATGGAAATTGATGACGCCTTTGTCTCCAGTGACCAGATTCTTGCGATAGCTTTCGCCGCCGCTTAGCGAGAGCAACACTCCGCTCAGTGGCTGACCGGCATCGTCTTGTACTTTCACCTCAATCTCACAGAGTTTGTGTGCGCTGAAGGAGTTCGACTGGCGATTGTATTCACTGAATACATAGGATTCCTTCTCAGCGGAGAGCTCGAATTTGAGCGTCTCATCGATAGGCCCAAATTTGAATTCACCTGTAATCGAGCTGAGCACTTCAATGGGTTCAAGTTCTGGTTGTTCGGGAAAACTCAGCGTTATCTTGGCATCCTTAATTGCGGGCACAATTTTGCCGCGCAAGATGAGTCCTCGCGTGGCCACAAAATTGAAGGCAATATCAACGCAATCACTGCTGCCCACGATCTGCTGATGCTGTGGCGTAAACAAAAGGACATCACTCAATGGCTTAACGTTCAGAATTTCCTCTGGCTTCAGATATGTCTCGTAGCGGAATGCGAATTTCCCATCCACCTTATGCGCCTCAGCTATTGGTGTAACGATTTGTTTACCCAACGATTGCGATTCCACAGCTAGTTTCAGAGAATCCAAATTGGGGTCTGTGGACAGGACACGCACGCCCGTCTTGTGGGCAATGGCATTGACAATCAACGTCTGCAGCTGATCTGGTTCTGGAGTGATGAATTTACTGGGCAGCGAGTCATCGTAAATGTGACAGCCTTCCAGCTTAAAATCGTAGCTGCCGTATTTAGAAACGCAGAAGGTGTTCACGCCTGAAAGAATCTTCAGGGTTTCAATGGGCGCCTTGGGCTCCGATGGTCCTGTGACATGAACGTAACGCATCTGTAATTAAAAGAATAATTGTCAGTGGAGAAAATAAACAGAAATATATTACAAAAGTTTACCAGCGCGCGATGACTAGATATAATGGACACTTCGTAGCCCTTGTGTATGAAGGGCGGCGCCGTCTCCTCTGCAGCGGCGACATTTAGGAAGACTCGCGTCGATTCATAGCACAGATTGCCTTGAGGAATCGTTATCTCATAGGGACCAGGCAGAACATCCTTAAAAGCATATTTGCCACCTGCACAGAGGAGCTCGTTAAAACAGATGCGTGCTGGCAAATTGAATTCTATACTCACGATATGCCCTGGCCTTCCATTTGTTGTCCGTGGGCTGTCCGGTGGCATCTAGGCCCTGCAGCGTAATCTCTGCTGAGGTGCAAGTGGCCGTGGCATCTGGCAGGCACTGCAGCTCACCTCGAATGGTGGCACGCAGCTGCGAGAAGGTAATGCCATTTAGTGGTGCATCACGCACTTCAGCCTGCTGTTGCACAGGGAAGAACTGAACACCGCTCGTCTTATCCACTTCCGTAGTGAGGACTTCAATATTGTATTTGCCGGCGGGCAGATAGGCACACCAGATGCCGCTCTCTGCCTTCGTGGCAGTTGTCGTATGGAAGGTGGAGCCGATTTTCGTGATGCCAACGACATAGGATTTCGGAGAGACGACTTTGCCGCACACTTCGTAAGCGGAAGGCACAATTGTGGGCAGTTTGGGCGTAGCAATCTGCGTCTTCACCTGCACCGGCTCGAATTGCAGCTGTGGATACTCGACTTCAATGTTGTAGCTGCCTGCTTTAATGTTCTCCAGCGTATATGTGCCAGTGGCATCTGTTTCGGCGACCTTTTCCTTGTTGAGCTTGACAATGGCAGACTTAAGTGGTGCACCGTCCGCGGAGCTCAGCACCTGGCCAGAGACAGTAAAGCCGCTAATCTTGAACTCCTCTTTGATCTGCAGCGTATCCTTGCCCAAGTCCACCTCCAAAAAGCTCGGCGTCAGATGAAGTTTCAAGTTTTGGTTCTCGTTAACGGCCTGCAGCAAGTACTTGCCTGTGGGCACATCCTTGAAGCTATATTCACCCTTCTCGACCAACGAATAGCAAGCGGCAGCGCTTTCGTATTCATTGTTGAGCTTGTTCGCCGGCGCAGTGGGCGAATTAGCACACTTGATCGGTAGAGTTTGCTGTGGGAATGAAGAGAAGAAAAATAATATATCATAATATAAAAGATTAGACTGTTTATCTACTTACGCCCTTTTTCTTATAGAGCACCACAGCGAGATTTGACGGCAATTGGGAGCTGGTATCGAAACGTCCATTGATATCAAAGCCAGATACCACCAAAGAGTTAGCCGGCAGCTCCGTGTTGCCACTGACCACAACCACATTGTGCTCCGCCTTGGCGAAATGCCATCTGGCATGGCTGGCACGCACCACATATTTGCCGGGTATAATTGGTGTAAAGAAGAAGACACCATTGATGTCCGTTTTGGTGCGGCGAATGTCGCCCTGCTCCGATTTCAGCTCCACATCAACATCCCGTGCACCGCTACCGGTGGCTAGAACCACCTTGCCCGTAATGCCAAAGCCCTTGAATACGAAATTAACATCTTTGCCCTGACTGCACACGTCATTCTTGCCATCGAAATTGAGCTCAACGTGTTCCGGCTCGAAGCTCCAACCGGGAGGTGGTGCAATGCTTAGCAAATATTCACCCTTGTCATAGATGGGCAGGAAATAGTAGCCATTCGATGGCGAGCAATCGGTTTTATCCTTCAGTGAGCCCTGCTTGGTCAAGCTGAAATCGAATTGGAAAAAATTCTTATCAATGATTTACAATTCCATTAATGAAAGTCACCACGTACAGTTTTATTTCCACCTTGGAAAAGTCAATTTCAGCATGGCTTTTGATAAAGCCACCACAGCCGACCACTTCATTGGACTGTGCGTTAATTTGACTAATTAAATTAATTAAAATTAATATAAAGCCGGAAAACTGACTTCGCGACCTCATTTTTTTTTTCGACTCTGCGCTGCCAGCTGAAAGTGTAGAGTTGTCGAGTTAGTTGGAAACACAGCTCTGATAAGCATAATATATCGATATATTGCATCCCACAGGTGTTGCGATAGATTGTTAAATAGTGCTGACGATAGCTTACTTCGATGTCTATTAGATGTTAAATCAATTTTAAATTCTAAATAATGCGATTAAGACAAATAAATTATATAATATAATATTATATTATTATACGTTATTGAACTTTGTATAAATTGAAAGCCGTATGAAAAATTTTTATTCGACGATGAATTATTGCCAGTTACCGACTATAAATTGGAGATGAACATAGAAGAGCTGTGCAATATCGATAACATTTAATAAGAAGTATCGACTTGGCGCAATTTATTGTCACATTCAAAGGTTGTGATAAAATAAATTGAACCATGAGTGTAATGTTTTTGTGGAAAGTAACAACATTTTCAAATGAATGCTAATAATTAATAATTCAAATTCTTCGTTCAATTAAAACGATCACAAACGGTTTTATTATCTGATTGTCATTTACTGTGTGTGTACGTACATATCTCTGAATGATTAGGACTATATACAATCTATTGACATTGAAATCATTTGATTGTTGCAGAAATAAGCTTGTCAGATATTAATTATCGCAACGAATTTTAATTACGCTGAACTACGTACGATATGGCTCCAAGTGCGAGCCAATGTGTTGGGAATATGCTTTACATGTATGTATGTCTATGTTTGTTCTGCGCAGTTAAGCGATCTGCCAGGCAGACAGCACAGAGACAGATAAAGCGAGACAAGCGCCGAGTTGTTCACAAGAAATTCATTTCAAGCATCGTTGAGCTGCGGATTGCCCTCAGTGCCTATAAATTTTGACCGATGCTGGCACGATAAATACATACATATGTATGTACATATGTATGTATTGGAAAAAAGAATAAGAAAGAAAATTGAAACACTCATGGCACACAGACAAAGCCGCATAACTGTAAGCTATAAACGAGCAATTGTACATATAAAATGTCTGAAGTGTGCAACATCAATTACTGACATTGACTTTGAATTGCCGAGGCAAAGCAATTACCCATTGCCATATTCTATACAGACAAGTATTTGGTTTAAGTGCAGTCCGATAGCTGCATTAACCGGAAGTGAGCGGCAACTGTCAACTGTCACTTGCTGGGCGCCATTTTGGTTGGCTCGACGGACTGACTACCTGTTTTAGCCATCAATTCAAAACTAATTAGCTGGCCACAGACCGAGGTAGCGCCTGCATGTAATCCACACGAAAATATAGACAGCCAGACAATTTGTCGAGACAGTAGCATAACACATTAATTTTATGGCCGGGTATTATTAGAATCTAACAAAAAAATAGAAAGAATAGAAAATAAATCTGCTGGGTTGTCCATTTGGGCAGATAAGCCAGCGTCATAGAGATTCGCATTAACTAAGTAAGAATAAATATCATTTTAATGAAATGCACAATATACCTTATCGCCTTATATAAAGACATATGTATGTATGTATGTATACATGCATCTGTCTATATATTTAAAAAATTTAAAAACTGGCAATTCTCGATGCGGCGATTTGGCATTTGTGCTGCATTTATTATAGGGGTCGTTCGATTATCGCTTAAAGTCAAATAACATCAATATTTCGGGGTGTGTTTGTGTCATATATAAATAATAAACCATGGACTTTGTTATCAACCCCCCTACAGTTAAGAAATCCATAATAACCGAAAACAGGAAAAAAAAATCCCCGTCGCAAAAAAGAAACAGCAACTACTACGCAAAATTTAAAACAGAGCATACCACACATTCGCACGCACATTTGTTCCCTTACGAACTGTTCCCAGCGATCGCTTGCGTATCCAGGCAGCGGCAGCGACAGAGACACCCCATTGCGGTTGCCAAAATAATTGACAAAACGCGCTTCGCTTCCCTGCGCGCTCAGCTTGACTCTGCTTTGCTGTGCTCTGCTCTGCTCTATTCTGTTCCCGATTCTGTTGTGCTCATGCGGAGAGCGCGTGCCAAACGCTACCGCGGGCCGCGGCTGCGACGCCGCTCAAGGCAGCAACGCAGACGCCGAGTCAGCAATCAGTTCAACGCAAGTTGCAGCCGCTAACAGACGTATTTAGAGCGCGTGCGTGCCAGCAGCACAAAGAGTATAAATCTTGTACTTGGTTCTTTTTTTTCCCGTTTGTTGCTTTTGGCCATTGCCAGTGGAACACGCGCAGGGTTCTAGCTAAATATAAAACAAGATATTTTATCGAACTACTGATAAAACGTCGTTGTAAAAATACAAGAATTTTCGATACAAGATCTAGTGCAAAAACAAATAAAACTCGTTTCGTTTAGTTCGCAAGTGCGGCCCATTAAAAACGTAAATATATAAAATAAAAAGTGTAAAAATAAAAGCAAACTTTAAAGCAAAAAATCTGCAAGGGCTAAGTGCAAGTGCAAAAGTTGTTATTGTTGTTGTCGATCTTGTTTGTTGTGCTCGAAAGACAGACAGCAAGAGAGTGGGCGAGAGAGAGAGAGTAAGAGAGCTGTAAGTGCACTTGACAGTTGGTGCTGCAGTTGACAGTAGCTGACAACATTCCAGCTAGAAAGAGTCTCTAACGAGAGGGAGCGAGAGAGGGAGAGAGAACAATTACAATTATGACAGCTGAAACACTTAAACCGTTTATAACACCAACGAGTGCCGTTAATACTTTTCCGGCCAAGCAATCAAACGGAACGCACTCGACAAGGAAGCATATACCAATTGTCTTAGGCATTGTCGCACTCGTTCTCATCGCTCTTATCTTTACTTATACGGTATGTATTTCACATGCAACTAATATTAGCGAATGATTAAACACCTTAATAACTTAATTGATAGAGATTATGGCTGCTTATCACGCATGTGCAAGCTCATTAGATTTAATCAAATCAAATAACCTGCCTGCGACATCAGCATTGACTATACTAAAGTTTAGCTTTATGAATTCCCGTTTCATAATTCCACAAGAAATATATAAATAAATAAGAAGAAGAAAATCAAATTAAAATTAAAATTAAAATTCCAATTCCAATCCCGATTCAAATTCAAATGCAAATCTATAAAGCTCGTTTTACGAAGCGTGACCGTCAGGCATTTAATTTGGCACAAGCTATACCTAGAAACTCTATAAAAATACATTTAAAGAAGAAGAAGCAGCAGCAACTGAGTCAGTGGCAGTGGAAGTAGGTAGAGCTAGAGCTGGTCAGGGTGCTGGCCAATAAAACCCGTCCCGTCTCAGATCAAAATCGAAGCGTGTCTCTGACCAAATCGTTTCCTAATGATCGTCATAAAACCGAACAAGCCGATCATCATTCCCGAGCCAACAGAAAGAGCTAGATGATAGGTATGTATGAGAAGGGAAGCTATAAACAGGGGAAGTGAATACATAGCGAGGTGCTAAGAGATGTACTGTTTGAAGTTCAAGTGGTAGCATATTCTTGAAACTGTTTATATAACTGAACAAATCCAAAAAATACTAAATTAGGGTAGATAGAAAAGGGAATATACATATGAGGGAAAACCTAGCAGACTGAAGAAGGCAACTTAAAGCGGAAGTTGGGCAATAAATAATAATAAAAGAGGGAAATAACCGATTGAAAGCAGATATTTTCCATTATCAGCGATAGACCTTATGGTCTATGAGTTTATCTAATTGCTAAGTAGGTCGGTTATTACTTCCAGAGTTCTAAGTATTTGTCAGCAGGCAATACGAAATTGACATTATAAGCTGGGGAGTAATGAATAATTATAACGATATAATATGATGATAATTAAATATGATAATTAAACATGATAATTAAATATGTACTTGTAATATTCATATATTTATCTAAGATTTATCCTATCACATTTATATATATATCTGCTAAAGTAATATATAAAATATTTATACAGGGTATCTTCCAAACTTATTCATTCAACTGAATCCCACGTTGTTTACTCAAGAACCGATTTCCTATGCCAAGCTAAAGAAGTGTTGATAGACATTCATGGTTTATCTTGGTATTTTACCATTTTTATGGCATGCTCGATAAATGTCCGACTATATTCCATACATATTATATGCACACATATACTATATATGACACAGAAAACTCTGAACTTTTGTATTCCGATAGCTTCCGATGATGCTCCGCAATCGCTGAATAATAACAACAACAATTTGCATGGCTTATGCATAAGTGAAGAAGTCTCCTATATGCCACAGATCGGCTTTAAGCACTGCGCACTTCTCCATGCACCATTCACTGAGTGCGCATGTACTTTGGAGTGCTTCTCTGAAACGGAAATCGTACAATTGTCAATTGACTTGTAAATGTCATTTCTTATTTTTCGTATTGCCTTGGCTTTTGAGGGGCGCAGCTAAATGGACATGTGTTCTGCAAAGCCACATACATAAATCTTTGTTAAGATTTTTATATAATTTCCCACTAGCCGAACAAAAGACCGATGGCTATCTGACGTATGTAACCCTGACCACACGGTAGGGTGGGGTGGGGTGGTGTGGGGTGCGGATTGACCCTCATCAGAGTTGGTGAAAGTGGAAAACAAAAAACTTATTTCTTGTGCTGTGTTTCTGCTGGTGTAACGAGATTTGATTGCGTCGGCTACCAGCAAGATTTATGGAGGCGAAACTCGTTTACATTTTCGTTTACATACTATCCATATACGGCTGTCATAATACCTGGCGACAAAGTGAACTTTAAGTGTTTACAAATCAAGTAGCAACCGTTCGAATTACAGCAAGTGAGCAGTAACTGAGATCACAGTCAAAAATTGGCTATGCACTGGCCGAAAATAGACATCAATGTGAGGGCTTCAGCTCTCAATCAATCTCAATTTAACAACTGGGAGACTCGTTTGATATACGCGTTTCCTGGAAACCACAAAAATCTCAAGACTCAAATGTCAACTCGAATTCTAACTACAAGATGGATGAGTGCTGCATGCTAGGCGAGACTGCTCATATAGAAGTTACCCTGATGATCCCTATATAAAGTTAAAAGATTATCTGTATATAAATCTTTTTATTTTCATGTTAAAGCTACGCTTTAAGCTTTACGGCGTCAAAATTGAATGGAATTAGATGTATTTAATTGAAAATAAAATATTGATAAATATATCATATCATATCAATATGTGATCCCTAGTTAGATTATTGCATCGTATATTAATTTATACTCATATAATATGCATATTGAATTCGTATTCATATTAACACTGAATATGTTAGTATATATTTGAATTTTAGTATTTATATTTATATGATATTCATATTCATATATACATACTAATGCTGATACTAATATTTATGTTCAACTAAATTCGGCCCCAACTCCTTCCTTGCCTCGTCTCTCGTCGTCACTCCAACAGTTCTAACACGTCTTTTTCTCACTGTGTAAGACCCAGTGTGGAATGGAGCTTTGTCACACGCTCTGCCGTTTTTTCACGATCAATGCAAAAGCTTAATTCAATAATTTCGTAAACAAGTTCCATAATTTATTCAGACAAAGATCTTAAGAATCTCCTCACACATAGCTGCCAAGTTTCAGCCCCGACTTGTCATAACCAGCGGACATTAACATTAGCTTCTTATTTAATTTAATTTAATTTTATTTTATTTATTTATTTATTTTTGGGGCGCGAACCAGCAATAAAAACAGAGAGCGGGAGAGAAACACGATGTTGTATATAGACAATAATGATAGGAAAAGGCGATGACAGTCTCATATTGAGCAACGCGTCGAAAGTTTGCGGCTGTTCGCACAGAATGTTAATGATCCATTAAAAAGATTATGCGCCTCGACGGTCGTACACCATATTTTGTTTTTGGTTTTGTTTTTTTGTTTGTTTTTGTTTTTTGACAAATGCCCTGGGCAACTAATAAACGAGGTGGTTAACATTTGTTCTACATTTTAAAAGTATTTTAAATGATTATATGTATTGGGCAGGAATAATTGAGCTAATAATAATAATAAAGCAAAATGGCTCAACAAAATTGAAGTATTTCTTATATACGTATATAAATGTCCTTTGGCTGTAAGCTAAGCTCAGCTATGAAGCATAGCTTGAGCCTAAGGCTCTACAGTTTCTAGCCATATATTTCGTATAACGAAATAAGGCTAGAATTCTAATTTAGCGCATTTTATATATGAAAATATTTACAGTGTTCAATATTTTCAGTAGAAAGCGCATTTATAATATACATATATAGAAATAATGACAATTCAGTATTTATTATTAACATTAATAAACAAATTTTTAAAGGGTATTTAATGTTTTTCCTGACTTTCGAAACAGAACGAAAATGCTTAAAGATAATTGCTTTACAGACCAAACAAAATAATTAACATCAAAGGATTTGCAACCATTTAATATTTATTACAATTTGAAAACATTTTAGTCTAAGTAGAAATAGAAATTAAACTTTTGATTTTTGAATAAGGAAAATCAGCTATTTTTTGTATTTTATTTATTTACGAATATTTGGAGTTCACATACTCATACCATGGCTTACTTTGAAAAATATGATTTAGTTTATATATATAAATGCATTTCAAATCAAGGAGTAGTGCCTAGTCGAGCATGTCAGAGCTAAGATGAAAATAGTAAAAAATTATAAATCAATTTAGTTCACAAAAACTTGCACTCTATAGAGTATTGCCCAGTCAAGCATGCCTTAAGTCCACAAAAGAAGGAATTGTAAATGAGCTTTTAAAGATATAAGAGCTTTATTAGCTTCAATGGCTTTTGCTCAGTCAGGCAAGACTTTTATAATTTGAAAATGAAAATTGATTTATTTTCACATAGGCATTTGGATGATACAGCGTATAGCAGAGTCGTGCATGTTTCATTATAACACCTTTAAAGGCTTTATGTTAGGGTATTGTCCAGTCGATCATGTTAAAGCCAAACACGATTATTTCTTCATCTGCTGTGCATATCAAATGCTTGCTTTCTATGTCAGAGCATACACACATACATGCATATAGATGTACATATATATACGTATATATGCATGTACATATTTTTTTGGGCGCTGGTGTCAAAGTTCGCTGCTTTGGGATTTAATGATGTGTGGATTTTAGCACCGCCTATCGCCATAATTAAAGCTCATTACATTAATTGTATATGAAGACTGAAGATAAGCATAAAGTGAATCTAGAAAACAGCGAAGAAACATATATATATATATATATGCTTATCTATATACATATATGATATGTATATATATTTGCTATTAACATATATATTCTATTAAAGCAAAGAAATTTTCTTAAGTAGAATACAAATTGATATCATTTCATTTGATTTATATATTTATATATAGATATGTATATATACATACATGTTTGCAATTGTCTGTTTTTTAATGAATTCCGCTTTCCTGGATTGAGCATAAACACATGATCATGCTGTGCCATAGCCATGGCTATACTTGTGATTCTATAGTTTCTTTATTCAATGATCTCATGCACTATTTATGACGCAGAAAGTTTTATATAATATAAACATATCTCTCAAATCTCTTGCAGATCTGGCAAACGAAACGCGTGCAACAGCTTGAAGATGATCTGGGCGCTTTGAGGCGGGATGTGAGTAGCTTGCGGCAAAGACTGGGCATTGATGTTGTGGAGGAGTATATGGAATTCGAAAAGGAGGTGAGCCCAAGTCTACGAAAATAATTCACATTTCTATTCATAGTAGTCCAAGCATTGCGTCACATTCCCAACTTATTTTATATATAAATATCTATATGGGACATGTGTATTTATAGACATAATATATATATGAAAAATGCTTTATTTTTGACAAATGGTTGCGAAGTGATAGATGTAGATTTAAATGGGAACCGTTAGTTCAGGGGGCCATAAAATACTTTTGCCATTTATTAATGGGTATTTCTGACAAATCACTCAAGCAGCGAAAGACATAAGCCAGAAGCTCTTAAGAGCTAGCACTCAATTAATATTTAATCGATTTCGACCATACATTCTTTTGTGCTATAATTTATGATGCTGGCTATTAGAGCCAAGGCAATTGCTAAATGGATTTCGTGTTGAAATTATTTACTTATTTGAGGAACGCAAAGATATGTAATTATTAAGCATATATAGCAATAAGTGTTGACTGATCTGAACTGTACTGGACTGATCTGATCTGATCTCATCAATGGAATCATGGATAGATCGTTTCAAAACTCAAGAGAGCTGTGCATGTGAGGCAATCTAAATGGGTAAAAGAATATAATGTGCGCATATATATATCTATATATATGCTAATGACAGCGTCTCTAGAGAGTTGGGGGAAGGCGCCAGCAATTAAAGCCAAAGCAAAAAAAAAAAAAAAAAAAAAAAAAAAAATGAAATGAAAAAGTATTATTTAAATGAGTACGCGTATTTATAAATATATATGAAAGACATACACACACACGCCCATTTGTGAAATATGCATTAGAGCCATAAGTTATGGGGCCAGGTCCCCTCTGGCAGAGGCAAGCCACAAGTCACGTACTTGTGGCCCAAGTGTTTGACCCACAAATCTTATGGCATCCACTTTATATTATATTATACGAACTTGCTCATCCATGATCCCAAATAGCACGGCGAACTCGAGAACTACGGCTCCTACGATGACAATGTTGATGATGATGATGCTGGGGTGGAGGATGGTGCGGACAGATCGAACAGTTACGAGGACGAGGATGATGAGGACTTGGGCAACGAGCAAACGGACATGGAGGAGTACTTGGATATGATTAATCAGGAAAAGAGTGCGACTCAAGCCCTCTCACCGGACAACAGCAGCGATAAGTCGGACACAGCGGCATCCACCGCCACCTCCAGCTCCAGCTCATCGGCATCCAATGATGATAATGTGTTTGAGGACTTCACTAGCTATAACGATTCCAAAAAGAAGAGGGAACGGTAAGTAATTGATTAAATAGTATAAATATTATATATCAAAGTCTAAATCTGTTTCTAAATAGAAAAACTCGCTCCATTGCCGAGATGCGCAATGAGCTGCCGAGCAACGAATTAGCAGAAATTGCGAAGAACCAAAGCCGAAGTGCTGAGCAGACAAAGGAAAGGTATGTTAAAATAAAAAATATGAAATATGCACTCAAAAAGGAAATTACACTCTTCACCATTTAAATTTATATTTAAATCAGCAAAAGCATAATTTCCTTAATAAGCAATACTTCTCTTTATTGGCATTTTGATATAAATAGTTAAGAGTATAATTACCCTTTTGGGAATACCTGTGTTCTCTATATCTGTATTACTCTCACTTTACATGTGAACTCTGTTCATTGCGCGCCAATATGAACGTCTTATTTCAAAGTCTAACAATAGGTGTATCAACCATTTAATAGGTGTATCAACCATTTAATAATAGGGCCTAACTACTTTCCTAACAGCACAGAGGACGCGACCGATCAGCAGGGCAGACGCGCACAGACTAAAATGTCCCCACTGAGCGCCTATGCTAAGCCGGCACTGCAATAGTTACCGACACTAATACTAATAAGCACTAGATTGAGAGAGAGCGAGAGAGGGCAGTTATAACTCTTTAACCTTCAAATGCACCTAGTGTGCCTATGCTAAGCTGGCACTGCAATACTAACGCACACTAGTACTAATACGAACTAGAGAGAGCACATATGAACTATACAAACCGCTCACGCACACTTTCGACTGACAAGGAGATCGTACGAGTTGCAACCAATGACGTTAAGCGAGGGAACATTTAAATTCCCTTCTTCTCTCTTTTACTCAACTGAAAGCATTATAATTGGGAATCTAAAGCGCGCCTGACCAATGGCGTCGGAGTAATAAAGCTCAATGTTTGGCATTAAGTTTTGCTCCAGTTGACAAAAATTGAATGTTTAAGTTGAGCGATTAAAAATATAATAACATACTTGTATAGATATACCTTATAAAATCACAGAAGTGTCTTAGGAACATTTAGCATCTTAACAAAACGGCATTTATTAAAGGATATTTATTTTTAATTTCCTCCTACAGCACTGTTACTCCCAATAGCAACACTAAGCAGCATCTGCACAAACAGCGACCACGCACACGTGAGGGCCGTCAACGACTTTTAGTACGCAAAGGTGATTATTTATATATATACCTATAGTCGCATTTTAATTGGCAATATCTATAGCAACCAAAATATTCCTTCACTGTCATATGTGCGTTTGTTAATTCGCAGGCGAATCTCCTGTTTCAGCGAAATCCGCAGATTTCCCTGCCGCAAGCCGAGCAGCTGCACATTTCCACTTGAATCGCAAAGTGCCGCAACACGAGTCCCCCATTCAGGTGCACTGTGAGTATTACTTGTCTAAATATATGTACATACATATATACACGTGTGTACAATAAATTTATATGATTCAAATTTCCTTTTATCTACAGCTTATCACGGTGATATGTATATGGGGCATCCCACGGCCAGCAGCGACAATCAGTGGCAGCAGCACTTCAGTGTTCACAATGGCATCCTGACAGTCCATCAGGCGGGTCTCTACTACGTCTATGCCCAGATTTGCTACAATAATACGCACGATCAGAATGGCTTTATTATCTTCCATGAAAATAAGGCATTCTTGCAATGCCTCAATACGGTGCCCACGAACATGCCCAAGGTGCACACCTGCCACACAGGTGGGCTAATTCAGTTGCAGCAGCACGAGTCAATACATGTGCGCGACATCCATCGGGATCGGAATGTAATGCTCCGGGATAGCAACAATCGCAGCTTCTTCGGCATCATTAAGCTCTAAGCGAATATTCTCTGCACCGAACTTAAGCTTTAGTAGTTGCGACTACTCAGTTATACGAATACGTATATACAGCTGAGTAGATGAACTAGCCTAGAATTTATTTACACTAAACATATATCGCTCTATATACACACACACACATTTATATAAACATATATATAAATATATATTTATATACCTATCTATTCATAAACTTAACATGCATATAATATCATATTTATTTTGTATATACATCTATATATTTCTAATTGATACAGAAATGAAATTGCCATAATAAAAAGAGTTTAATAAAATTATATTTTAAATTGCATTTTTTAATTACATTTAATAATGAGATAAGGAAAAGGATAAGATCAGGAAAATTAAAATATATTCATATAATCTGCTGCATAAAATAAAACGCAGACTGTCAAATGATATTTTAATGCAATTATAGCAAATACTTCTGATTCTGGGTTTAATAAATATTTTTGTTGACCTGAGCGGGCCCAGTTTTACCTTAAATTGCCTTATATATACTTTTATCCACTTAACTCAATCTTTAAAGTATTTGAAATCCACTTTCTGTCATTTGGCAAAGCAGAGAACACAAAAAAAGAAAACCAGAGAGAACCTCTTGATAATAAAGCCTCTTAATAAAAAAGAGCAAATCCTTTGGCTCAAACAGACATTTCTACACAATTTATCTGCTCTAAGCTTGTTTCTTCTGATTTATTTTTGTTTTTTATCTTATTTGACAAGCACAAAGCGCACATAACATGGTCAATCCTGGCGAATGGATTCTGTCCGGGTTGCCGGACTCATTCACAGATGTTCCATTGCAGCTTAACAAAATGTGACGTCAAATGGAAAAATTAAGTTGCACTCACACATACGTGGACATGGATGGGTTGGGAGCGGGAAGTGGAAATGGAGCTGGAGCATGCATAGATTGAGTGGACTTGGCTCATGCATTCCAGCCTCTATCCAGGACAAAATTCAGCTCCAGCTCAATGCCCAAAAATAGATGCAATTGAAGCTGCAGTAGCTTTAAGCTGCAGCTCCACACAGACACACACACGCACATACATACACTCACACAATAGCCACACACACACACACACACAGATTGATATCCGGGCCTCGGCCAGCGGAAGTAATTGCCGAATGAATGCCATTTCGCATGTAACAGGTGGGCGTATTAGGGTGGTCCAGGGTGGTCTTCGGCTGCTGGCTGAAGCAACAGTTCGGCTCTGTGCAGGAATCGGTTTAGCATTGCCCCAGGCAATGTCGAGCCTTCCACCAGCTGCTGCTGCTGCTGCTGCCTCCTCCATGCTGTATGTACACATACATCCAAAAATGAGCATTTTGAAGAAGAAGAAGAAGAAGTTTAAGCTGAAACAGAATCACTTCCCCGTCTAGCCCGAAGTCTCGCCCATGCGCACTCCAATCAATCCAACTTTCGATTGCATTTGCAAAGCTTTACATCAGTCGCTCGTAGGTGTCCCTTGCGATTTGGCTGTGGCCCAGGTGCATAGTGTCTCTAGTGTGTGTGTGTGTGTTTGTGTGCGCCAATTTATTACAGCTAAGTAAATTGCAGCTCAACTGCCGCTGAGGCTATGGTAAGCTTTGTCTTTATCATATAAACAAATTTGATTTTCAGATTTTTTGCTCAGCCAACAGGTGGCAGATTTTTCTTTAACAGTATTTAGCAGTATATAATAATTATATATACATGTGTATGTATACATATAATAATTAATATTATTTAAAAGAACACTTGTATACATATTTATAAAATTATTATTTTTTAAAAATTATTTTATATTAATGATTAGGTAATAAATTGTTAATGTTCTGTAAGTTTTTTTTTTTCAAATTTTGTATACATATTTTAGAAGTTATATTTATATAGTTTACAAAATGTTGAAGTTACCAAAAACATATATGAAATTATTATATATAAATTATATCATAAATTCATTTTTTTGTTTATTCAAAATCAATTTGGTTTTTTAATTTCATATATATTATTTAAATAAATTTTCTTATATTACAAAAAATTTGATTGTTCTGTAAATGATTATTGAATTACATATTTTGTATATTTTTTTAAATTTTCATATACATTGTAATTAAGTAATAAATTTTTAAAACTACCCGCTTATTTTTTATACAATACAAATAATAAATCTATATATTTTTTAATATTATAAATATTTAAATTAATAAAAAAATATTTATATAGATTTAAATACTTATTTTTAATAAATAAAAATAAAAACAAAAAAATTCTTTAGTAGAGCTCTCGGATTAGTCTTTACAATATTACTAAATAAAGCACATACTTATATGCATTGCACATATAAGTATATTTTTACATAAATACCCATTTAGTTGTACAACAATTCAGAGCCCATTATGCTACAACTCGTTTGCTTTTGTATCTAATTGCGCACTTGACTAATTAATTTGTGATTTCAACTGGGATTTCATTACGTCTCAAAGCGCCACATACAGACACAGTCATGCACGCATAGACACACGCACAAAGGACAACCCACCTATACATACATTTGTATAAAGCTTAAGAGCACTAATGAAGTTTTCATAAGGAAAAGCAAAGCTCGCGCGCGCACAAAGTAAATGGCAACAGTCATGTGTGCAAGTATGTGTGTGTGTATGGATATGAATATGCTTCTACCAGAATAAATCAGTTCAGATGCAATCCCTATGCTGCATTGGGTAACTTTTGCAGGACTTATACCGAATGAAAGACGAGCAGAGAGCAAACACCACCAACAACAACACGAAAGAGACAATAAAACCTCCGAAACAGTAACAATAACAGCAAAAAGAGCTTTTTCAAGCAACAGCTTCGCCCACACACAGAAATGCGCTCTCTCTCATCGCGCTGTCTCCCTCCCGCTCGCTCTTTGGCTGGCACAGTGCGAGTGTGGATTGTGTGCGTCTGTGTGGATTCTGTTTGCAGTGTGTGTGTGGTCTTCGTTTCCTTTCGTGTCGTAGGCTGAGCCGAATAGTATAAATTGCAGACGCTTTGCGAATTTGATGTCACTCTTGGTTTCGTCTTGGCTGTGGCTGGTGCTCAACTGAATCAAGCGCGAGTCCTTGTAGCAAGCACAGAAAAAAATATATATAGAAAAGTAAAGAAGGCGTAGGAGTGACGCCATGTTGTGAAAAGTGTCTACCATTTTATTATTTGCCAACAACAAATAAAGCACACACATACGTAGATAAGAAGACGCAGTGCAACACACTGAATGCTTTGAGGAAAATACAATTTGAAAGGACATCCAGAAAAACAGTGCAATTTTTCCACATTCTCAAACGGAAGAGACGTCCGTGCCCAAGCGAGGAGCCGTAAGCTGCCATTGATTTGTTTGTTGGTAAGCGTGGGCGTGTTGTGTCAATAAGTCAAAAACGAGCCTCAATGTGTCAATATTTTATATGATTGGCTTGATTAAAGCGCCGCTCTTGTGCGCTGATAAACCGTTGCGAAGGCTAAATGAATTATACAGAGCGTACATATCAAGTTTGTAAAAAGAAGAAAGGCGAAATGGCTGAAGGCTTAATAGAAAAGGTCCTTTTTTTCTGCGCCAGTTGCCTAATTAGACGCAGTTCCTGGTAGCGAGTATATAGTAGATATATATGCGACTCAATCTGTTGCGGCAATTGAATTTGTCAGTAAATTGAATTGCCAAGCAAATGCTTTTGGGACTTGCTCCTGGGTCCCTCAAATAAATATTCATCACATAAATCAAATTATGTTGCCGCGGCACGAGCCAATTTGCATCCACTGCCCAGCATCAATATCGACAGTTACATTCCGTATATACACTCACACACACACACACACACATATATACATATATATAGAGACATAATGTGTATCATATAATTGACAGCTTATTGAAGCTGTCTATCAAATTAGACAGCCACCATATACCTAAAAATAACAGGTTCCATATATATTATATATTTCATATTGTTTTTATTATATTATGTATACGCCCAATGGTACGGCCAGCGCTTTCGTTGTTCTGCGCGTCAGCCGCAAAATCCGCCGCAAACTTTTTTGGGTATGTTTTTCTTTCGCAAAGCGTATCAAAAGCTAATCAAAAAAAAAAAAAAAAATATATATATATCAGAGATCAAGATCTCAAACCAATTGCATTCTTTGCACAATTTAAGTCGATTTTTATTTGTTTCATATTTGCAAACTTTTCGAAAAGCCTGTTCAATTTGCATATGAAATAAATTGCTTTTGGCATTAAGTCAGAGAAATGTCACATGAAGAGAACAATAAGTCCGCCGTGCACATCAAATAAGCTGTTTCGAGCATAAATCATTTGAAATGCTGCGTAAAATTCCTGGAAATTAAAAGCCCAAGTAAAAAGAAGAAAACACAAATTGTCTTCAAGAAAATAAATGATGGGTACACATATAATATATAAATAATAAATTAAGTCAAATTTGCTCTCAAATTAAGTAGGTAATTTAATATTAGTAACCAACACAGGTCAAAAAGGAAAAATCGAGCATCATAATTTTAGATGATTTAATTTTAGATTAACTAAATAGTAATGGCTGCAAGTATATTCGTTGAGCTATTGTTTAGACTTTCTTTACGTTAACTACCTTAACGCTCTTCCATTTTAGCTTTGCTGAATCGTTAACCAACACTGGGCAAATAGCACTTCATCTTCATCAATATGAATAACTTATGCATTAGCAATCACTTAAGCCAGAGCTTGTGCCGACTTAGTATATCGCCCATCTCTTACGTAAACCGTTATTAAATAAGCATTAAGCAACACTGGTCGAATGATGCACGCACGCATAGTTTTTATATGAGAGGTAGAGATATTCGAAAGTAACTAAAGTTTCTTTCCATGCAATCAGTAATGCCAGAGCTTACAGTTTCTAAGTTTCAGTCATGCTGAATCCTTAGCCAACACTGGCCAAACATTACTCAATCTTCGTCTTACACAGTTTTCCATATAAATCACTTCAACTTTTCTTTAGCAATCACTTAAGTCGAAACTTGTACTCTGAGCCCCTCACCCGTGCATACTCGTTAGCCAACACTGGTCAAGCTTATTCAAATCGAATTTGCAAATGCGGTTTCGCGAACAGATTTATTATCTTTAACCTTTGTTTAAAAGCACTCACTGCGCGTCCATTATGCAAATGCTAAAGAATAAAACGAATGGCAAAAGCGAAGGGAAAATAATTGAACTCGAAGTAAATTAATTTTATGCTACTGCGAGTCGAGTCGAGTCGCGTCGCGTCTAATCG